ACTTGTGTGCCGATATTGATTGTAGTCAAAGGTATAGTGTGTGGTTAAAAGTTAGGGTGTTTCTCTATGATTGAACTTTGTATGTAGTTGCGGGTTCATTAGATTGTCCAATTGCTCGAGGACGAGCAAGAGTCTAAGTGTGGGGTGTTGATAAATGATGAAAAGTGCATATTTTTGAGTATATTTATATATTAATTCTTGTGTGTGTCGCGGGAGATTACATGATTTTCGAAGTGAAATATACTCATTATGTGTTTCTTATGTGTAGGAACGATTTTGGATGATAAATGATCAAAAGATGACAATTCGAGACAAAAAGAAGAAATTAAAGGGGTGGGAGCTCGTTTATTCTCGTGCGTGGCACGAAGTCGGACGCGAAAAAGGAGAAAATTTAAGGCACAAAACAGCGAAGCGAAGCAAAGGCACGGAGCGTTTCGCGAAATGGAAGAATCTCAAAAGCTGGATCCGCGTCAAAATCCGCATCTAGACGCGCGGATCCGCATCAAAGTCCGCGTCTAGACACGAAGGCAGACGCGGATTCCAACTCTCCCATCCGAAGTTGGATTGAAGAATTCCGCCCCCCATCAACCCTAGGTCATATAAATACATCCTAAAACACCACTTTGAGAGGAGACGCCACTTTGGAGTAAAAACACACACGGGATCGTGAGGAAGCGGGAATTCTCAGTTTTCTTCATCTTTTTCTAGTATTTTCAATTGATTCAACAATTATGCAATTGTTTGATTACATTATGAGTGGCTAAACATCCATTGTTCTGGGGTTGTGATTTAGCCATGAATATTGTTGTTTGATATTAGCTTGACCTTGATTATAATTCATCAATATATGGTTGTTTCTTCAATTCTGTGTTTAATTGCTTAATTGTCTGGCCAGCAGTTAGCTTCTATTTACTATCTATGCTATGATTGGGAAAGCCGTGTTTAGATTAGAGAAGAATTGAAGAGAGCATGATCTTAACCCTTAGGGGGAGCGGATTTGTGGTTAGGATAGGAATATACCTAGTCACCGTGCTTAATTAAATATCGTAATCTTAATGCGTTCTTAATAGATTGATTTCATAGGAATATAGGAGTTAATCTATTGATAATAGGTGAGTAGTACTTCGGGAGAAGGCTATGAGAGCATTTATCGATTAATTAGCAACCATGAGTGAATTATATGAAGGAGAGAGTTAATTAGAACACAATACGAATGGTAAATCGATCACAACCCTGGAATACTTGTCTCTACTGAATACACAACAATCAATTCGTTACTTGATAATTTAGTTATTATTTAGAATTGTAGTATAGTATAATCATATTATTGGACTTTGCTTTTAGCTAGATTGAATAACAATTTTAGTGATTTAGTGAGTAGTTTACACAAGTCTCTGTGGGTTCGACACTCAACTTATCATTATATTACTTGTCGACCACGTATACTTGCGTGTGCGTTTGGAAGCAACACCAAGCATGCAAGAAAAGTTAATTTCTCTTGTCTTTGCTTAATTAAAGATTATGTTGACATAAAGTAGAAGAATCATTAAATGATTATGAGATATAAAACATCTTATAACCGCAAAGATCTCGTTATACAAGTCAAAGGCTAAGAACTTGCACATATGCCCAAGCATTTTAATCACGAGTCAAATAACGAGTGCTCATAATTAGGTGGAACAAACAACTAATGACTCACTTTTAGGTTTGGTTAGGTAAAAATTAGTACTACTATTCTCCATTGATTGATTTGATTATTTTTAAAGTGTTACTCCTATTACATTAGCATTAACTAGCTAGTGGACAACTTTATTCCACATCTCCAAAGTCTTGACTTTTGCAACATACTACTTCTGATACTTCCTTGTATCAAATTGTTTGTCATTTTGTACATTTTCAACAATAAAATTATGGAGCACCAAACTTCGATTAAGACTTCTTTAGCAATTGTTTATTGTTTTGATATACAGATTTCATTTATAAATATTCAAAATATTAATATTCCTTGAGAAGGGCGAGAAGTGAAACTGCTTATTTAGTATACAGTTTCAAATACGTCGTAAAATTTTTATCTATTAAAACTATGATTATGGTAGTTTTATTTAAAATTTTAATTATAAATTAATTGTAAAGAGTTACAAAAATCAATTTAAGCTCCACACTAAACATTAAATGAGTTCAGGAACTACAACTCTTTTTGAAACTACAGAAATATTTAGAATTACTAGAGAAAGAAACAAAAGAAGAAAAATTTAATTCTTATTACAAAAATAATTTAATAACATCACGAAATTAAGTGGTTCAAGGACTGCAAGGTGATTCCGAGTGAGACAGGGTGATTCTGAGTGAGACACTCGCGTCGCAGCATAGACTTTTGGTGCTAGACGTTGGTATTAGGTTAAAGAGGAGGAAAAGGTCTGCTCGGGGAAAACCAAGAATCAGGTGGGGACTAAGGATAAAGCCCAAGAGTTGGAGTGTCGGTTGTCGGCTATGGGAGCTTGGAGGAGCAGTGGGGATGCGAACACTATGTGGTCAGCGACAGCAGACTGCATAAGGGAGTCTGCGAGAGAGGTGTTAGGGGTCTCGACCGGTGTCTCTGGTGGGCACAAAGGAGACTGGTGGTGGAATGAAGTGGTCCAAGGTAAAGTGAAAGCGAAGAAGGTGGCATACCTGAAGTTAGTTGGGAGCATAGGTGAGGAGGAGAGGCGAGCGTGCGTGGAGAGATATAAGGTAGCTAGGAAGGAAGCTAAAATGTCGGTCACGGAGGCTAAGACTGCGGCTTATGGTCGCATGTACGAGGAACTGGGGGAAAAAGACGGGAAGAAGAAGTTATTCCGGCTGGCCAAGTTGAGAGAGAGGAAGGCCCGAGATTTGGACCAAGTGAGAAGCATCAAGGACGAAGATGGTAGAGTAATGGTGGAAGATGCCCAGATTAAGAGGAGATGGCAGACTTACTTTTATAAACTTCTAAATGAAAAAGGGGATCGTGATATTGTGCTAGGCAAATTGGTGCATTCCGAAAGTCACCGTGACTTCGGCCACTGCAGGCGTATCGAGGTCGAGGAGGTCGTGGGGGCTATGCGTAAGATGAGTAGGGGCAGAGCGACCGGGCCAGACGAGATTCCAGTGGAATTTTGGAAGTGTGTAGGAAGAGCAGGTGTGGAGTGGTTGACTGGGTTGTTTAATGTTATTTTTATGGCCAAGAGGATGCCGGATGAGTGGAGGTGGAGTACGGTGGTTCCATTGTATAAGAACAAAGGTGATATCCAGAGTTGTAACAATTATAGGGGTATCAAATTACTTAGTCATACCATGAAAGTATGGGAGAGGGTGGTTGAAGCGAGGGTGAGGATGACAATTTCTGTAGCCGACAACCAGTTCGGGTTCATGCCGGGCCGTTCCACCACAGAAGCTATACACCTTGTTAGGAGGTTGGTGGAACTGTACAGAGAGAAAAAGAAGGATGTGCACATGGTGTTTATTGACCTACAGAAAGCGTATGACAAGGTTCCTAGAGAAGTTCTCTGGAGATGCTTGGAGGCAAAAGGCGTGTCGGTTCCTTATATTATGGCAATTAAGGACATGTATGATGGGGCTAAGACTCGGGTTAGGACAGTAGGAGGCGACTCTGAGCATTTTCCGGTTGAAATGGGGTTACACCAAGGCTCTTCGCTCAGTCCATTCTTATTTGCCCTGGTGATGGATGCGATAGCAAACCATATTCAAGGGAAGGTGCCATGGTGCATGCTATTCGCTGATGACATAGTTCTGATTGATGAGTCACGAGCCGGTGTTAACTAGAGATTGGAAGTTTGGAGACAGACTCTTGAGTCTAAGGGTTTCAAGCTAAGCAGAACGAAGACAGAATACCTCGAGTGTAAGTTCAGCGCTGAGCCGGGGGAAGTGGACGTCGATGTGAGGCTTGAGTCACAGGTTATCCCAAGTAGAGGCAGCTTCAAGTACCTTGGTTCGGTTATCCACGGGGGAGGGGAGATCGACGAGGATGTCACACACCGTATTGGGGTAGGATGGATGAAGTGGAGGTTAGCATCTGGAGTCTTGTGTGACAAGAGAGTGCCAACGATACTCAAAGGTAAGTTCTACAAAGCGGTGGTTAGACCGGCCATGATGTATGGGGCTGAGTGTTGGCCTGTTAAGAACTCACATATCCAAAAGATGGAAGTAGTAGAAATGAGGGTGTTGAGGTGGATGTGCGGGCACACTAGGATGGATAAGATTAGGAATGATGATATTCGGGAGAAGGTGCACGTGGCTCCCATTGATGACAAGATGCGGGAAGCGAGGCTCAGATGGTTCGGGCATGTACAAAGGAGAAGCGCAGATGCTCCAGTAAGGAGGTGTGAGCAGCTGGTTGTGGAAGGCACGAGAAGAGGTAGAGGGCGGCCTAAGAACAGGAAGAAGTATTGGGGAGAGGTGATCAGGCAGGATATGGCGAGACTTCAGATTTCTGAGGACATGACACTTGATAGGAAGTTGTGGAGGTCGAGTATTACGGTTGTAGGCTAGGAGGTAGTTGAGTCTTGCGTTACTTTGTACCTTTGTGAGCCTAGTCCGGTAGGGTTTTGTCTAAGAGAGCTAGGGGCAATGTCGTGTCTTACTATTTTCTTTTTCAACGTTGGATCGATTTACTAGCCACCGTTTTTGCTTTGCATTTTTCTTCTGCATTTTATGTTACTATTTTTCCTATGATCTCCGTGATGAATCTAATATCCTCTCCTTTTGTCTTCTTTTTATTATCTTGAGCCGAAGGTCTTTCGGAAACAGCCTCTCTATCCCTTTGGATAGGGGTAAGGTCTGCGTACACATTACCCTCCTCAAACCCTTGTGGGATTTTATTGGGTTGTTGTTGTTGTTGTTGTTGAAATTACCCTAACAATATGAAGGAAAAAAAAAGAAGAAAAGAAAATAATGGGTAAAAACTGTGGACGCAACCTGTGTATGTCGCAAGCAAAGAGTACAGACCTCAATTTCTCTCTCTTATTCTTTGTTGATAGATTACCTGCTGCAACACTCAATTTCCCATTATTCAGAGCCGCGTGCGTCTTTCACCTTCTTCTTTACCGTAAGCTCTTTCTCCATCCCCTCTCTCCTTTTTTTTTTCTTTGTACATCTCTACAGATTGGTAATTTTTTTGATTGATTGATCGATGATCTAAGCATGTATTATTTCGTTCCGTCTACTTGCGTTTTCTTGAATTGGGTCTTCAAATTTTGTTTTTTCAGGGTACTTCTTCCCTCCTTCTTTTATGCAATTTATTTTTTTTACTACTCCATTACATTCAAAGAGCAGTGGATGCGGTTGAACCAGCTGCAGAGGGTTAGATCCACATCTTTAGGGTTGTTTGTTCATAGTGTGTGTTTTGAGCTATACATATTGATCATATTTATGGATGTACAATGTTGTTAACGTCTATGTACTATGTACAATCTTTCTCTTTGGTGGAGTTAAGTTTTTTTATTAATGTAATCTGTTAAGAAGGGGTTTATTGAGTTCCCTTCTGTTTGCTCTTTTTTTTTCTTTTTCTTTTTCTTTTTCTTTTCCCCCTCCTTTTAACTCTTTTCTCAATTGAAAGCTCGGATTTTTATTGTTGCAAAACCTTTTTATTAGCTCACCTAGTGTTTCTCCTTGAAGAACTTTAGGCAAAATCAGATGCAACAAGCTTATGAGATATGCGGAAAAGAAAGGACAAAACGAAGCAAGAAAGGATTAAATGATCAGGGTTTCCATCCGAACTAGTGCCTTAAGCAGGAAGGAAATATAATTATGTGGTGAGGTATCGTATATAAGAGAAAGCTTGCTTGTAGGAGTGATCTTTTGCCTTTATTGAGGAGATATAAAACAAGCTTACTTACTAATAAAGCGACAAGAAGCACCTTCTTTCTCAAAGTCAACTTTCTCCCTTCGCTAAAAATTCCACATTGAGTATAGGTAGGAGATTCAATTGTGCGAAAATTGATCAAGGTGTTTTACCATGTTCATGGAAAGAATGGTGGAAAACGAGGAGAAAATAGAGCTGAAAAGAGAAGTAGACTCATGTAGCTGGCCCCAAGTAGTGGAGTAAGGTGTGCATTAAGTTGATCTCAATTTATAATAGCATTTATCCATGTCTTTTTGTATGTGCGTCTTTTTACTTGCATTTGGTTCTTGACATCGTATGTATTGGCTTCGTGGTTAGGTTTCCCATTCCTTTCACACCATTTGATTACATTGTTTGGTTTATTCAATTTTTTCTCTCTGTTTTCCTTCTCTCTGCATTGATTAATAGAATTCTTTTTCTGTTGATGGTGTCAACAGTTAGGGTCAGTCCAACTTCTGAAAACATATGTGCCTTTAGAAGCTATATTCTGGGGTAACCTGGCTAAAGCTAGGTGATGCACCTTAAAGGAAGGGGGGGGGGGGTAGTAAAGGGGAAGAAGGAGAGAAAGAGAGAGTAATTGAGAGAGAGAGAGAGAGTGAAGAGAATAATAATAATAGAGAGAGAGAGAGAGATCAATTCACATCAAGCATAGTGGCAAAAGGTTCTATTTATTGTGCAAGGAACTTTGGGTAAGTTAGAATTCCCAATACACTTAAAACTTATCTCGGAAGTGTAATAAGAAGAAAGTTATCACATCAATTTCATCAGAAGACTAGACTAAAATCAAAACAATTCAGAGAACACAATGATAAAGGCTACAGTTAATCTTAAAATAGCTAAGCATAAGCTAACAGCTATGTAATGATGAAAGTAAATGATTAATATTTGTTGGAGAAATTCTAGAAATTCTTATCATCAATTAGAGATAGAGTTCCATTTATCTCAAGAGATTCGACTTATTCAGGACTCCGTACGATATACAAGGCCCTTCTATTTTTCTTTTTTGCTTTATTACTGTGAGGGGGAGTGGGAGGGAAATATTACATAGGCGGGGTTCGACTCCTCTCCACATGTTGAAGGATGAGGGGCTCACACCATGTGAGCTACCCTCCAACCCCACCCTTGTGTATTTTTTTTCCCTTTCTCTATTACTATTAGAGGGAGGGGAAAGGAGAGAGGGGAGAGGAGAAGGGTGAAGGATGAGGGGCTCGCACCATATGTGCTACCCTCCAACCCCACCCCTGTGTATTTTATTTGGCTGAAACGAATTTGATATTACAGTTTATCTGTATCTATCCCCTTCTTCTGCCTCCCTTCCCCCTTCTTACTCTCCTCTCTTTTCAATCTTATCTTTTCTGTCTTCTCTCCTATTCTTCTTTCTCTCTATTTCTTAGTCTTTTTTCTCTTACCATTCTCTCGTTCTTCTCGTTGTCATCAGTAGAAATAAATTTCTTCCCTTTCTCATCAATAGAGATAAATTCATGTCGTTTTAACTCCCCTATTTTCACTTTCTGCATTTTTAATCAAACTTAAGTTAATTTTTCTGATCAGTTATGATTGATTCTTGATCCATAACTTTTTAGATTAAAAAAGAAAACTTAAGAGAACTTTGGGACTAGAAAGTATAGGAGAAATATGTAATATCTTTTGTGGACTTTCTGTTTCAAAAAATTATGTAATATCTATTGCTTGGGAGATTGCTGTCAACCACCCATTTCTGGGATGACAACATTATTTGTCTCCGTTTCAGAATATTGAGATCCTAAATATATTGTCTAGGATGTCTGTTGACCTGGTGAATTTCACCTCTCAATGGTGATCTTTGTTCATTTAGCTTTTAAAAACTGATAATTTTTTTTAGCTTTGGCATTTAAAGGGAAATTCTTTATGTTGCTGTTCTTTGAACTTTGTGCACTTTTCAATTAAATGATATGGTTATGCACTAGCTCCATGTGGAAATTTATATTTCCAAATATCTGTACGAAGGTAGAGTCTATAAGCCTGGTCAGTGTAATTTAAAGATTTGTTAGTTTTATATTGACAAATTGTAACATTTGCGCATGATGTTCCTGCAGTGACAAAGAGTAGCATCTTTGCGCGTGTCCCATCCTCTTCTCCAACCCTTTTGACAAAGGTCAAAATAGTCTCCCCAACTCTAATGGAGGTTAAGCTATGGAATGATAAGCGGGAAAGAGAAATGTATGACAACTTCGCCGAGCTCTTTGCTATAATAAAGGCAACCGAAAAGCTCGAGAAGGCTTATGTTCGTGACATCATCTCACCTGCAGAATACGAAACTGAATGCCAGAAATTGATTGCTCATTTCAAGACCTTATCTTCCACTTTGAAAGATACTGTACCTAGCATTGAGAGATTTCATGACACCTACAAAATGGATTGCCCTGCAGCCCTAAACCGTCTTGTGACCTCTGGGGTGCCCGCTACTGTGGAGCACAGAGCCGCCGCTGCAATGTCAGCTACGACCTCAGCTGCTGTTGTGGCTGAATGTGTGCAGAACTTCATCACTGCTATGGACTCTTTGAAGCTGAATATGGTTGCTGTTGACCAGGTCCATCCCCTATTATCGGATCTATCATCTTCCCTTAATAAACTTTCAATTCTGCCAGCTGATTTTGAGGGGAAGACAAAGATGAGGGAGTGGCTCTCAAGGCTATCAAAAATGGGAGCTGCAGATGAGTTGACAGAACAGCAGGCTCGTCAACTCCACTTCGATCTTGAATCATCATACAATTCTTTCATGGCAGCACTGCCCACTGCTGGAACTTAATTGCTTATTTCAGGTGATATGTTTGTACATATGATGTGGCTGAATTCTTGTTTTTTTATCAAGTTTATACTACATATGATGCTTTATTTGGTTGAACTGCTGGTTGATCATTTTGAGGATTCGGAAAAGAGTCATGTAATTTGCGGGGCTGTGTCTGGTGGTTCCATTTTATTCAACATGAACTCATCCCAGACAACATTTTTACTTGGTTTGCGTGCTTTTCTTTTGTAACATTAATATATTACTAGGAAAGAATTGAGCGTCTGATATAGTTTTTTCAACTGAAGTGCTAATTTTTTTTATGTTAAATTAAGCATCCATGGCATTAACTTATGAAGTAATATTACATTTGTTATGTGGTATCTTTGGCTTCGCTCATATTTCAGACTTGGCTTTAAGGGAGTGTCAGGATTCATGATGATAGGGTCATTGTTTTGCTAATGTTCTTAAATACAGTGTTCTGGCCTCTGGGAAATGGCTAAATTGAATGATCTGGTGCTTCAGGTTGAGTCATCTTCTGTGCAGTGTTTTTACCCTCGTTAGCTGATCAAGCAAGTTTTGTAGCAGCATATTCAAGGCACCCTCGTTAGTTGTCTGTATATCATGACGAGATATCTGTTTCAGCTTCTTAGAACTGTAAGCTTTGATGGGTTTGGATATCAGAATCTGGAAAGTCATTTATCTGTTAATTAGCATGTGTATAGTACATCCCTGGGTTTCTCTTTGTTCCCTTCATCTGCTACTTTTAGCTCATGGTTTAGGTTCGGGGTTATTTTAGCTGTGTTGGATCCTTCACTTGTTATGTTCTCAGGTACCGTCTTTGGCTCAGTTCTTTTTCTTTGATAAAGAACTTATCTCACTCCACTGCATCATAGAGGTTCTCTATGCATTCTTCACTTGCAACAGATCTCTTTGACAGCATGTTTACAATACCTTTCCGTGATTACGAGTACAAATCTCTTCAAGTACACCTACGCTTGCGCTCTCAGAAAAAAGTTTGTTTCACTTGAGATTTTGAAAGAGAAAACCTTGCCTATTGTTTTCAACAGGGTATATTAATATACCATCTGTAGTTTTCACTCCCTGCTACCGTATATATGTACATCCATCCCCGGCTTCAAGTTGAATACTGAAGCACAGTTTTATTTTCAAATTTCAAGACCATATTTAGCTAGTACTTATTACTGCGTTCGTTAAAGGTAATTCAATTTCAAAGGCCTTTTCGTCCGTGATGGTAAAAAGCTCCGCAAGCTCTATGTCATTCCTAGTTATTCTAACCTGCATCTTCAAACATACTTGCTTTAGCTCTATTTAGATTTTCATGGAGTTGCTTATTGTTTGTTTAAGGCGAAATACATAATCAGCCTCTTTAAGTTGTCCACAACAATCAGATGAACGCCTTAACTTGGCATGTGACCAGACAGACACTTCTATTTGACACATGTGTGTCTTATGAATACCCGAGTTCAACAAGCCTCATGTGTGAGTTACACTCACGGATGACATAGCATGACAAATTATCAAATGACATGTGTATTTCTAAAATAAATTATAGTTTATATTAAAAAAATACTTTAATTCTTTAATTAAAAAAAGAAGAAGAAAAAGACTTTCCTTCCTCCCTCCCAGCCAAAAATAAAAATAAAAATAGTTGTATTTCTTCTTCCTTTAACACCATAAACGCTGCAGCTTCTTTCCATCACCGTAACACAACCAAAAATACCACAAAAGCTCTTACCTTTAACAATAATTTCTCTCAAAAGTTCAATTTCTCCTTCCCAATCATTCCCCTCTCTCTTGTGGGTGCAATCACTTCTTTGCTATATTAAAAATCCCTTTTGCTTTGCTTTCGTTACTATTCTTCCTTAATCTCATTACTGCTCTTCCATTGGTTTGGTTCTTTTTTTTTTTTTTTTTCTTTGTGCAGTGGTCTTATGGTTTATTCTCTTTGAAGCCCCACCCCAATTATTTGTTTGTATAAACCTTTCCACAATCGGCCGCCTAAGCCCACTTCACCCCTTTTTTTTATAAAACCAAATCAAGAATCGTCTTAACCCATTTGATTGATATATTTTTATCAGTGAAGAACTAATTGTCAGATCTAATTGTGGTGAAATTGGAAGGTTTTAGATGAGTCTTTTTGGTTTTTCAGATTTGGAGTCAAAGGGAGATGCAGAAGTGATAGTAGTTTTGTGGTGGTGTAACAGTGGAAATTTATTTTAGGTTTGTTTAGTGGTTGACAGTGGTTGTGGTGGTGATGAAAGTGGTGTAAGAATTAGGTGGGGTCCATATTGATTTTAAGGAGGAAATAAAAAAATAAACCTAATTTTAAAGAACTTCACGCGCTCAGATCTGAGTGCAACACACAAATTTTGCCATGTCAGCATAAGGGGTTGAAGAGATACAGTTCTTTCAAATAGAAGTGACTGTCTGGTCATATGCCAAGTTAAAGTGTTCATCTGATTATTGTGGACAACTTAAAGGGGTTGTTTATGTCTTTCATCTTTGTTTAATCGTCAATGGCTTCGTTAATGGGATTAATTGCTTAAGAATCCCTGGCGAGTACCAACAGTTCGGAGCCGGCTCCCCTCCGGTCCTAATCCTCTCCGTTTCCCCTAGTTGTGCTTTATATTTCTGCCACATGTCACCTTAGAAAATTAATGAATCGGATTAATTTGATTAATAAGCACTGCAAATTAGTTTCAACCACTCTCTTCCAGGGGAAACAGAAACTCTTACGTGCATGAACGGACATGAATTAATGTGTTCGTCAACAAAAAAAACCCTAAAACTAGCTAGGCATTTCAAAAGTGGAAGAATGAGACTTAATAGACTCGAGGAAAGATATCTAGTATAGAAGCAAACGATATCTAATACTTATAGAACAAAGCAAATGAGTGCAAGTCGTACAAACTTCAGTACATGCAGAGTACGAGATCTTTGCTTCTTCTTATTTATTGCCTTAAGAGAAGTGGATATTTTTGGTATACACATTATATACCAATATCACATATGCATTATAAGTCTATGATCATACTGTGCAGAAATTGGGGAACTTAAAGCCATATTGTATTAACATGCTCCCTTATTTACTGAGGCAAAAAAGGTCCAACTGAATTGTAAAGGAAAGAACATCACCTAGTACATCTTTTGAGAAGATAATATCAAGAACAAAAAAGTTTCTAAAATTCACCTTTATAATTTCTGCTAATTGGTCAACCCCACTCTGTCCAGGAAACAATGGCTGTCCACCGAACCGATTCGTTAGAAGAGTTCTAGAACAAGTAAGACGACATATGACCAAAAATAGCACAAAAACATTAAGACATGGTTACCTGTCCAGGAAGGCAGGAAGTAACTCAGCCATCACACAAACCTGTAAAACCAAAATATCAATAGCTGTTGTGTATATTCAGTGGCACCAAATATGAGTTCAGTGGCACGATAATATCTCGACCAGATATATGACACACTGGGTTCACCTTTCACCTAACCAGTGGTCAAAGTATTAAGTCCGAGAACTGGATCAAGTGCATGACTCCTAAATACAAAGTGGTCTTTGCAGAGAGAAATTACCAAAACTTTTGCACTTCCAAAATCACAAAAGCTTCAGCTGATGCGTGTCTGGATTTACCCAAGTACAGTGACCCAAATAAATTAATAAGTTACAAAATCAGACGTGCATATAGCACATTGCAGCTAGTCATACTCATTCCAGGGAAAAAATAAACACTTATTATACAATCATGATTATGGAGCCTTTTAACCAGAAACAATGAGGCCCATTATAAGCACAAAAACACTTCTTATGGTTGAAGTGTTCTATTCTTAATTCAAGGCTTTCTATCTATTCCCGGATCCTTTCATTTCGTCTAACATTGGATGCCTCCATTATCATACTTCAGTCACATCAAACACCACACCAGATGAGTTGTCTGATACGATCAACAAGCTGATATCCATATCACACTCCAAAAATGTTATTATGCTCCCTCCATATGTAACGTACAATTGTAGGAGTTCATCCCTAAGAATATTGTTTATGAGGTAGTGCTCTCCAACCAATATCTCGTCTATAAAAACCTCCAGGCCAGCTAATTTGTTCAACGGCTTGGTAGGCTCTATCCCGGGCCTTTTCAAGATCCTCCCCTGTCGCTGTGACTCCAAGGACACGTCCCCCAGTAGCTATGAAATTTCCATCCGCATCAAAAGCAGTCCCAGCGTGGAATACTTTGACTGACGGAGAAACCTGCTCTGCTTCCTCAAGTTTACGAATGATCGTTCCTTTCTGGTAGCTGCCGGGATAGCCTTTACTTGCCATTACAACCACCATGGCTGACCCAGGGGACCAGTCCAAAGACACCCCACGTAGCTCCCCATGACAAGCTGCCAGCAGAACTTTGACCAAATCAGACTCTAACCGGACCATCAACACCTGAAAACGTAGGAAAAGAGTTTAAAACTACATCATGGGACAGGGTATTTACATTAAGCAGAATCAGATCCCACTCCTATTTCCCTTACATGCTTCGAATCATGTTCCATGTAAAACCTCCGAAGAAGTAACCAGAAAAATTTGCCAGCTATAGTTGAATAGGGTAGACAAATAATAAAAGAGGAAAAGTACATCACGATCACGTCAAACTTCTGCTCTTTCTGTGACCAAGAATTGCCCTTCCCTACAATTCTGCTTTCATGAAATACACAAAGCATAGGAAACAACACCAAAGACTGACTAACTCAACCATTTAATAGACCAAATTGGCAAATCTAAGTAAGCACAAAACATCCATTAGAGAGATATTCCCACAACTTGGAACAAATGAGGGTCTCCAATCACCTATCTTAAACGAAATACTTGATTTGCATCCTAGCATACATGAGAAATATCAGTAACTCTTTGGAGTTGCTAATTACCCAAAAGGGTTGAAACAAAGTTCACTTGACTTGAACCCCTATACAACCACTCAAATTGCATCCCTAGATGCCATTAACTAGGAAAATGAGGGTCCAAAGTAAGCTAATTCTATAATTTAAAATTGTCTTGTAAATAAATATGTAGTCAAAGATGGCATTTTAGTTATCACACATCAATAAAAATGTGATGGAACTCAACACCATAGGACAGGTGTTCTATTGTGAATAGGTTGAAAGTACTGTTGCAACAAATTGAAAGAGGACCATGAAAGTAGGCGATAGGAACCTTTTATCCAGAATAAGAATGCCAACAGATCTGCGAATCATATCACAAATGAGATTTTTCAAGTTCAGGAATCAGAAGCTAAGCACCAGCTTATCCCGCAACAACACCACCAATGTCCACCCCCCAAACCAATCAGTATTCCACGCAAAGAAATGATTTTGAACCAATTTAACAAAATTCTTCGCTTGTACGACACAACAGTAAAAACTCCATTGGCTGAAAGACTAACTCTACATCTACTTAGCAAACAAAGATCTATGGTACTAACATAAATTTCAAAACGCAAACAGAAAGTTTGATTGCAAGTGGCAAGTAAATCCAACTAACCTGGCATTCTGGATCTCCGAAGCGCACGTTGTACTCAATTAACTTTGGTAAACCAGATTTCTTCTCTATCATGAGCCCTGCATACAGAACCCCAACAAACTTGCAGCCTTCTTCAGCCATTCCCTTCACTGTAGGAAGAATTATAGACTCCATGACTACTGATTGCAGTTCTTTTGTCAAGACAGGAGCAGGTGAATATGCCCCCATCCCACCAGTATTTGGTCCTGTATCACCATCCCCAACTCGTTTGTGGTCTTGTGCAGATTCTAGAGGTATGGCATGCTCACCATCTACCAAGGCAAAAAATGATGCTTCCTCTCCTTCCAGATATTCTTCTACAATGACACGAGAACCAGCAGAACCAAAAACATTTTCTACAAGCATAGAATCAACAGCCTCGTATGCTTGCTCCAATGACATGGCAACAATAACTCCTTTACCGGCAGCCAATCCATCCGCTTTAACAACAATGGGGGCGCCTTCCTGTTTGATGTACTCTTTTGCAGCGGATGGGTCTGTAAATGCTTGATACTGCAGATAGCCAAGACATGAAATGAACCAAGCAACTAGAAAAGCCAAGTATCATAACAAAGAGTTTTATTAAGAGAAAAAAAACAAGTAAATATAACTGAATACAAGACGCAGACCTTTGCAGTTGGAATTCGATATTTATCACATAAGCTCTTCATGAAGTTCTTAGAACCTTCTAAAGCAGCTGCTTCTGAAGAGGGGCCAAAGGTAGGAATTCCTTCTTTAACAAGGTCATTAGCAAGACCTGCAACAAGCGGAGCCTCTGGTCCCACAACAACCAGCCCAACTCCCCATTTACGACAGAAAGCGATCACAGCTGAACTATCTAAAACATCGAGGTCATCTATGCAAGTTGCATCTCCTGAGCTGGAAATTCCCGCATTACCAGGTGCACAGAAAATAGCATCACAAGAAGGGGATCGCCTCAGAGTATGACAGAGTGCATGCTCTCTCCCTCCTCCTCCAATTACCAAGACAACCACCCTTTCGTCTATAATATCAAATAGAATGAATCAATAATAATGTCAAAAATTATAACGGATTCTACAGTCTACACTATATCCATATCAATTGTGCTAATTATGCTAGTTAGCTAATTTGTGCCAGGGAAAGAATAAAACCAAAAGTATTGATACTTTAACATAAAAAAGAAAGAATCTATTGGCATTACATGGCATGATGGCAATTCCAAACTATTGAATAACAACTCAAAATTCCTTTTGTGCTATAAAGGGAAGTGGAAATCAAAACCTAGGAAAAGAAGCACGCATTAACATATCCATTTAGTGAGAAATAATAGAATCACCTTAGAATAAGCAGAATAATAGAAAATCTGAAATACCCAATACATATAATTGCTAAAATTTTAACCAAAACAAAGTACAAAAATAGCTTTCAAAAGCTGAAAGAACCAAATAAGAGAAGCAAAGTAACTGTAGGGGATAACAGTGGAAAAAATTAAAAAGCAAAAACCCAATTTCACAGTTTTTCCTTTTCCTACAAACACATTGGAAAGATTAAAGTGGAGTAGTAGTTATTACCCGGGTTGATATTATCCACATAAAGGCTATTGAAAACAGTGGCGAAAGATTTGTAAGTATTAAAACCACGGCAAGAAGTAGGACGAACTGGAAAATTGGAACAATTCCAATTGGCGGAACTGAATTTGAAACAACTCTGTTGGTTTGCTGAGAACAACCTCGTTGAATGGTTTTGGCAATTTCTTCCAAACTTTAAAGCAGTAGCTCCTATATTGAGAGAGATACAGGTCATTTTTCTTCTTTTCCTTTACCAATTCACCTCCTTACATCAGTTGACCAAAAAAAAAGCTCCAGGAAAATTCAAAATGGGGACGAGGAGGAGGAAAAGGGGAAGGTTTAGGTTAGTGATGTTTAAGAAAGAGGCAAATTTGCTTTACAAAAGCCCGCTTTTCTAAAGTATCGGCGAATCAAATGGCTTTCAGCAATGTTTACAAGAACCAAATATTTATAAGGGAGTAACTATTTCTGAGTCTGCATTTTAATTAAGTATTCCTTTTTCTAGATTATGTCTAACAAATTATGCATATGATAAAAATGTAATAAATAAAAAGTTTTTTTTCTTTTTGGAAATTGTGGGAACGAGAAAGAAATAAAAGTTGGCAAAAATAGCTAATATAAAAACTCGACAACTTTATACATGTAGGGGAGTTTTGGCGTAACTGTTATATTACTTCCTATAGCTATGTTTTTAGATTTTTTAGAGTGTATTCGATGTATTTAAGCTACTGTATTCATGCATACAGTAGCATTTCTAGGCGTGAAACATGGGATTACAACTAGATAGATTTTTGTATTCGAGTATATTCATGGCGTGAAACATGGGATTACAGCTGGACAGATTATTGTATTCGACTGTATTCCACTGTATTCACGGCGTGAACACAGGGGATTACATTATTTTTAAACGGAAAGTGAATCAATTAACATAATAGACTCCTAATATAACTCAAGAAACTCAATTATAACACACAAATTTTATATTTTCAGATATAAAAAAGATTCTCAACCAAAAAATACCCCAAAAATATAGCAATCTTCAGAGAAATTATACAATACATCTGAATACATAAATTATATTAATTAAAAACAAACATATGAATACATTCATCGAATAGAGCGAGACAGTGAATACAATAAAATACATAGAATACAGCGGGATACGTTGAAAATACAATGAAAAAAAAAGACAATGAATACAATGAAATACATAGAATACAACGAGATATATTGAAATACAATGAAAAAAAAGACAATGAATACAATGAAATACAACGAGATAAATTGAAATATATTAATAGAAAACTCAAGTTGCTCAACCCCCAACTCCGTCGTCTTTGTTCAAGAACAACCCTAATGTCGTCTCGTTGAAGCAGCATCAGTATCCAGTCCTCGCTCGCCGTCACCGTTGCCTTCGGTTGCCGACGATACAGCGCCACCTTTAATTCCAACTGTTGTTGCATCGGAGAACGTACGTGATCGAAGTTTCCATGGAGGTAATGAGCACAAAGCAAAATTACCACCCATGAAATTCACTCTCCAAAATTTACACTCTCAAACTCAACTCTGCTTTCTAATATTTTGTTAACGTATATATCATTGACAAATTGCTTCCGATTTGCTTATTAGATAAGAATCTGAACTTTCCAGCGAAAATCGTACTAATTTCGTGTTTTTTTTTAGTGTATAGATCTTAAAACACAGTTGCGATATTTCAAGAAGGAGAGGATATGAGATCGGGAAGAATAGAGAGAGAGGGAGAATAGATATGGGGTAGTGGATAGGAGAAATTTGAGGGGATATGAGAGAGAAAAATAATACAAAGCTTATTTTTGGCTTAAGGTTAGGAGGTGACCATAAATAGATATTTGGCTATAAAAAATCAAAAGGTAGCTATGGAATATAATTTTTTAAAAGAGTATTTATTTAAAATAAATAAGGTATCAACATTTGCTATAGGAGATAATTAATCCTAAATAAAAGACCTAATATTAAATACTATGTATGTGGATAAATGTAGGGGTGGGCACCGGTCGGTTCGGTCAGTTATTATAAAAGTACGGTTCGGTTTATCGATTTTCGGTTTTGTAATATTAATAACCAAATCAAACCAAAGTATTTACGGTTCGGTGCGATTTTTTCAAAGTTACTTTCGGTTATTTCCGATTTATATTTTCGGTTTCAAACAGTTGTAGGAACAGTGAAGTATTTACTGTGATTGAGAACATTGGCGCCTGAGTTTTGTATTAAGGACATCATCCGTGCTTATTCTTTGAGCAACTTCGAGCTTCAGTTGTTGATTGTTAATGGCAGTATGTGCCTAATCGAGGTGAGCCTTTTTAAAGATTGAGATTACCACCTTTTTAAAGAGAGCCAATAATTCCTTGGATGTATGAAATTTCAACAAACATTTTTTTCTGTTGGTGCTCCAATTGGTTTAATAGAAATGTTCGACAGTGGCGGTGCACTTGATAAATGAAGTCCATCAGAAACCAGAAGACGTTGATAGTGGTGTACCTCAGAAGTGGCCACTTCTCTGAGCGAAAACCCGTCTTCAGCTGCAACAATCTCACTTAAGGTCGGGGGATGTGGTCATTTTGGGTAAATTGGGTGGGGTGGGCTTCAAAGGTATTACTATTGGGTATTCGCATCTGGGCTTCAGCCTAAGATCAATAGATCAAATCATCATAAGATGGGTAATACAAACATTTCGCGTTCGGTTTAACCGGAAACCGAAATACAAAACTCGTAAATCGCACCGAAAATCCGAAAACTAATAATTTTAAAACCGTGCACCGATCGAAAAACCGATTAAACCGAAACCGAAAAATCAAAATTCACGGTTCGGCCGGTATTATGCCCACCCCTAAATAAGTGAGGCCCAATAACAATTGGCCTGTGATGGGTAGGCATTCTTTATAGGAATTTTTACCTAGTTATACAATAATAGAAACCTATTTACTACCTTTATTTAGGTTTCTTATTAATTACTTTATATACCTATATTTACTAGTTTTATACAAAATCATAAAAAGAAGGAAATGAAACATACCTTAAATACTGGGTATCAGTTACACATAATCCCCCTACATTTAAGATACTCTTCCTTTTTCAAAGGATTACAAACCATCATCTGTCTTTGTACTTACCCACCGTAAAAAACCCACTAATACCCAAAATCATCACCTCTCTTTCATACAAATCAACCAATCTCTCTCTCTCACTCTCCCTCATACAATTCAAACTATTATCTCTTTAAAATTGTAGCATCATATATTTCTCCGAATCAATTCCACCAACAACCATTAAAAAGTTTCAACTATTGACAAACCATCAACATTATCTCTGAAATTGTAGGTGTAGGGGTCTGCCATTGACATACCATTAAAAAGCTTCGAAGCTTTGAATTAGATATTCAGATTTTACAAATTTGTGACTTTTTTTGGATTCGGTTTTCTTGAATTGAAAATATCTTTTAGAGTTTATATCTCAATTTAAGGGAGATTTGTTAAGTTTAAATTTGGTTTTAGGTTGAATTTCTGATTAAAACTCGAGTGAGAAGAAGTTTCGGAATTGTATTACGATTGTATGACAAATGTATCATAATTGTATCTGAGTTGTATTTGATACGTCAATACCTAAGTCAATTCTGATACAATACTAATAATATTAAAATACAATATTGTATCATAATTTAAGTTTAGAGTTGGTTCTAGGTGGATGTTTTAAATTGAAACTTGAAAAAGATGAAGATCAAAGTTGTATCATAATCTAGAATTGTATCATAATTGTATCGCAATTTGTACCTAAAACAATATATGATACAATGCTAATACAAATATAATACGATATTGTATTAGTTTAAGTTTAGAATCGATTTTAAGTTGTATCATAATTGTATCAGAATTGTGTAAGAATACTTTCAGGATTGTATCAAATTTCTATCTGAATAATGAGTAGTTGTGAGTTCATGACGAATTTCACATTTTATATCACAAAATATATGATAATTATATATTAATTTATTAGTATTGTATCAGGTATTATTTTGGATATTAATGTATCATCTACAAGTTAGATACAATTGTGATACAAGTATGATACAATTATGTTTTACGCATTGATATATCTGATACAATTCAAATGCAATTATGATACAGTTATCATACAATCCCTGAATATTTTTTCATTTTCAGTGTTGTTCGGTCTCCCAACAAAAGAACGATGCAATTGATGATTTAATAATATAAGGCTGTCGCCAATGGTGGGAAGAGAGAAGATGGAGATTATTGGAGTAGATTAAGGGATTTTGATGTAAAAATAAAAGAGAGAGAGAGAAGAGGAAAGGGGAAAAAGGAAAGGATATAATTGAATCCCTTAATTGAAGGCACTAATAATGAGATGAGAGCCTTTTAAGGAGAAATCTACACAATTTGTAAGAATAACCTAGATACTTATTAAAAACTACAAAACATAGAGAATATTAGTAAATAAGTTTCTAATATAGTATAGCTAGGTAAAAATCCCTTCTTTATAAATAGAGGTCAACCCCCTTTCCCTAGCTATCAGAAAACCCTAGCGTATTCTGCCTTTTAATACGTGGTAACGGTAGACGTCCCATCAGTCAAGTTCCTCGGGCTGTGAGAGCGCGTAGCTAGTGGATCGTGGAAGTTGGTCTCAGGCTTAATCGCCGTTTGCTATGACTGCTGAATCCATGGTGTTTAACGGTACGCTTCCTTAGACTCTAACTCAAGATTATAATTTTATATCTGTATAATTGTGTCTTAATCTCTGCTATGGCTGCGATTTAATTATCTTACAGTTGGTATCAGAGCCACCATAGTTAAGGATTAAGATCAATAATTAATCTTGAGTTAAACGAAAAATAATTGTTGTAAGTTTCAGATGATAGTTCGACGCTGTTTTTACTGAAAAATTATTTAATCTCTGTGTTGTTGCTAACGGCATGAAGGGGTTAAAGTCCATTCTTTGTCAAAAATTCTGATTCTTATATGTGGCCTTGTGATTAATAATGAAGAGATGTTGGCGGCGGTCAGAAGTCCTAAGTGACTTAGTTAATTAAACTATTCCTATTTTGTAAAGGAATAGAAAGATTCCTTTACTTAATTTTGTCTCATATGATTTGTATTGAATTGAACGTGATATTGGAATAAGAAATTCCTTTTATGAAAAATTAGATCTTGCCAAGTTTACATGGAAAGCTACAACTTTGATCTGTTTGGTATATAATTTGCGACCAATTTTCTTTTTGTCTTATCAAAAGATTGTTCTGTTCATGTCCAATATAACAATTGTATTAAAGTCTGTGTTTAGTGTTTTGTTTGTATACGAAGTACGAAATTAAACTCAAATATGATATTGAACGATTCAATCGTATATGGGCTTATTCACATGTATATGGTACTACTTAAATAAGAAATT